TTTCAGACTAATCTTTTCATTTATGTATCAGGCCAGACACTAACTGGCCTTCTATAGTTTTCTTTTGAGTGAGTCATCTTGTTTTAGCAGAAAACCCCTGTACTTCTTTTCTGCAGAAGAACAAGATGTGCCTGTAGTTTCTGGAAGAATTCCCTATTAATCATGACAAATATTATGTTGAAATTTATAGTACCCTAAGCAAAAGCCCCAAAGGAAAACTATGTTTTATTCCCCTTCTTTTCTGTCTCATTTTAACCTTTCTACTACAAATATACATTATTTGGATTTCATTCACACAGAGATAATCTCTCCTTGATAGTAACGTATAGTTCATTGTTATTTTATTCTGTAATGTAACTTGTCTCATCTCACTTGCTATCTGGGACAATGCTAATGGGGTGTTGTTGTTGTTTTGCCAAGAGTGACATTGTCTCACTGACAAAGAAAGGGGTGGAACAGGGTTACTCGTAATATCTGACAAAATATTCATACCTAGTAAGGAAAAATGAAGGGACATATTTCTGTCAAATTATGAGGAAGCACTTTATAGTCTTTGTTGCCCCATGTCTCTCAATGATCCTTATCAGGATTATTTTTCTATTGTTGGGTACATAAGCCTTGTGGGACCTGGAGAAATAATTTCATACCACATAATCATGTGCCCAATAAGGGTCTCTAGGAGGGAAAAAAGCAACCCCCCCCCCCCACACACACACACTCAACTGTTGATAGACTGCATTCAATATGGATTGATGGAACCTGGAACAGTTTGGAGCATAGGACAAAAACACAAGTATGTCCTAATTTTTTTAAAAAAAATCAATAGCCTCTGAGTTGTTCTAGGTAAAGATCCTTTTTCTGTTCCCACACTGGAATGTTTAGGACTAAAAAGACCAGCATAAGAGCATAAGGCATCATAGCAAGTGCTATTACCTAAATGAGTTATAATCTGAAATATGAGAGTCAAACTAGTCACTAACTAATGGAGAGATGAATATTGCCAAATGGAGAGTCTGACATAATGCAGAACTTCAGTACAAGCTCAGAACAGCCTTTTATCTCTCATATCATCTTATTCTAAGGAAGGGACTCCTTGGTGGCAGTGATTCTTGTGTACCTTCAAGTCATTTCTGAATTATGGAAACTCTTAAGACATGATCTTCTTTCAGAGGAGGTTTGTCTTCCTCTCAGGCTAAGAGAATGCAACTTGATCAAGGTCAGTTTCATGGTTGGATGGAGATTAGAACCCTCATTTCCAGAATTGTAGTCCAGTGATCCAAACAATACACCATACTGGCTCCTTGGACACCCCATGTCTCATTGGCTGTGGCCTGTGCTTTGGTACTAGTGACCAGTAACTTGAAAATAGAGACAGTTGTCCAGCTGGATGAGGGCACTGATGTAGTGAACATATGCAAGCTTTATCTATCCTCCATTGGACTGTACATATAGATCCAACAATTGAAAGCTTGGCTGATTTGGTGAGTGCATTGTATATATACCATAGGTAAGAAAAATATATCTAGGCAAGGTGTGGTCTATGGTGGAGCATTAGTATTAGCTCATTAATGAGTACCATCTGATCTAGCTTTATAATAATAAAACCCTAGAATATCATCACACTGATCATTGCAAAAGAAACAACGCAAAGAGAATAAAAATACAGGACTCTTCTTTTTATGATATCTATTTGTATTTTCCCCTTGTGGCTGTCCTACATTTTTCTTCACTGTTTTGGAGTATAACATAATTTTGTGACTACAATAGACTGGTCTGAAGTTGAGTATGTCTTGTGCAAGAGATGGGATGTGATAGCAATTGGAATGGAATGGAATAAAAATTATTTTGAATGAAACTCATTTGGTTGCACAGTTCCTAGTGATTTTAGTTAATTGGTGGGGTGGGGAAGGGTGGGATCCAGTGGCATTTGATATTCTTGGGAATTTGGCCTCATGTTTTACATTGAAGATTCTAGACCAGGAATGAAAAGACAATTTATCTCATGAAATGCATCCAGTTTGGCTTGTGGAAGTGAAATATTGCAGCCGATTTGATAAATTGTTTATGCCTGATCAGTGTCATTCGTAGGATCAGTGTGAAAGATGCCAAACTATTACTGTCCATGCTATATGTCCCTCTGTGACACTGTTTGATATCAAGCATTAAGACAATTAAATAATTTTTTTTTCATATCTTTTGAAAAACGAGATCCTTCCAATGACCAAGCTACTTAATCAAAGACTAGTATTGCCAATCCTATAGAATGTAATCTGGAAGTATTTTATTTCCTTTTGTTTGAATCCTGTGAAACAACATCCTTTCATGTTGAAGACTTTCTTATTGCATATAAAGACAAAAACTCAATATATTGTTCAATGGTACAAATATTTGTTTTTGTACAAATATTACTTTAGTCTGCAGCTATACTACTTGCCTCCCCCCCCCCCTCTAATATGTACCTTAATGTAACTCCTACATCGACATTTAACAAGTGCTTTCCCTATTGATTACATGCTTGTCTGCCAAGAAAAAAGATCATCTACTGAATTTCTGTGGATATGCTGCTTTTGTTCAAGGCGGAGGTCAGAGACAGTTTAAAAAATAGCCTATGATGTTCAGCAATTTTTAAACAATCTGATCTGATAAACCACTTTGAGTCCCCCCAGGTGTGAGAAAGGCAGTATATAAATACTATAAATAAATAAATAAAATCAAAATATATGTAGGCCAGGTAAAACTACAATATGGTCTCATCTCCCGGTGGTGCAATGAGTTAAACCCTTGTGCCGGCAGGACTGCTGACTGAAAGGTCAGTGGTTTGAATCCAGGGTGCGAGGTGAGTCTGTCAGCTCCAGCTTCTCATGCGGGGACATGAGAGAAACCTCCCACAGGATGGTAAAACATCCTGGGCAACGTCCTTGCAGATGGCCAAGTCTCTCACACCGGAAGCGACTTGCAGTTTCTCAAATGGCTCCTGAAAAAAAAAATCTCCAAGGTATCTCATTATGTATGAATATGCAAATACAGGTATTCCAAAACACAAAACACTTATGGGCCCAGGCATTTTAGATAAGATATATTCAACTTTTATGAGTAAGTGAAGCAGTGTTAAAAAAATAATAAGTCTTTAAAGCCACTGAGTGCAAGGCAACATCAACCAGACGGTGCTTTTTGGCAATGCAGTGCTCATGGTGCATGAAATTATGATACAAGGCTTTACTGAGAGACACTCCAGTTCCTTTTAGTTTTAGTTCTGCTTTTTTAAATGCAAGTTTTCTATAATAGGTAATCTCAGGTTTATAGCATGGGGCATACCTTGAAATGAAATCTCTAGGTTTCAGCAATAGCCTGAAGTGTGTTTGCACAGTTGAAGCTAGTGTGGGAATGCTATCCATTCTTGGAAATGTCTTGATCAGTTCCAGTGGCTATACCTTGATTACATCTTGCTTGAAGTACTAGCATGCTCTTAAGTAGGGCTGGCTTCAGAATCTTTGATGGGTCCAAAAGGCTGTGGCTGGGCTGCTTACTTAAAGCTGGTTAAACAGAACACATACCGTATATTGTAAAATTAAAAATGCAAGCTCCTTAAATGAGACTTCCTAAATTTTAATATAATTTGAGGAGGGCTTTGTCTTGATCCCACTGCTGGCATAGATATCTGGAGAGAACCTTCTCAGAGAGGACCTTCTCAGAAGAAACTATCAAGATTAGTAAAACAGAAAAAAAAATACTTTGTTTCCTCTAGTTCTCCATAGTGTTAAGCAGACAAAAGCCAGAATTCTTATATAAAGAACTGAGACAAGGAAGACAGGACAGGAACTGCAGAGATCAGATCCTATAAACTTATATAGTTTTTAGAAGTGAGGATTTAATTGTGGTCATTATAATAACTCTTTTAAAATGCTTTTAATCATTTGGAAAGAAAATATTCCATCATTATTTTTCCATTTTTTTTTAAAAAAAAATATTTTTCCAAAAACAATAATAAAAAGACTGGGGAAAATGCAGGTTTTTCAAAAGATCTAGTTTTCCTCTGGGTCTTCATATTTATAAGCAAATACATTGTTCTAGCTGAATCATGTAATGTGTTTTATTTTGGACTTGATAATACCATATGATTTTATTTGACTGTATCCTCGATAGATAATTCCTGTTGATTTGAGTATGAAATTTATTACAGTAGCAAAACTGCACTCCGAGTTATTAACTGTTTTCTTGGGTAAAAGACCTTGGGCAAATGATAGCTATTTTTCTCTCTCTGTTTTGGAACTTTCATACTTTTTACTTTTTTCAAGTGCAGTTCCTGATGTAGTTTAGTGTCATTCTGGATGGTTTGTGGTCTTTCAGTGGGTTTATGGAGAACAAGGAAATATTTATTTTCAGATTTCTCCTCATTGTACCAATCTACTCCCCAAGTTGTTTATTCATTGACTTTTTCTGTCTTTATACAAGGCAAACATATTCATAGTAGACAATTAAAAGTTGTATAATTCGCATTCATGTATCTTTCACTTAGGTTCTTTTTTGTTAATTCTTTTATGGGGGAAATTGATTTAAATTAAAAGCATTTGATATAAACAAGAAGTGTAATGTTTTTATTTCAAAAAGCCATTTATTTTTATGAGTTCTCATGTAGCAGACCATTACTGTTAATTCACTATATTAAGCAAGATAGCACAATGTGAAATTTAACTGTTGGAATTCAGCCTATGATATCAATTTGATTGAAATCAGAAAATAGTATCCTTAACTGCTAACCCATATTTACATGGAGCTAGAAGCTGGAGTCAAGCATGATGGCTTCTGTTTCTATGCCTTGCTTTTGTTTTTGGAGAAGATACTGCTTTTGGAAATAAATGCTGGATTATGTGGGCATGTTGACCTGATCCAGAAAAGTGGTTGTGTTTGTTAGAGTGCAACCCCATTAAAAGTTATGCATCTATGCTGAGATTCACAGTGGTATTTGATGTACTAACATTGTTCTTTGCTTAATATTTTAGGGCAGAGCGCTGCTGCACTGGGCCTGTGACAGAGGACACAAGGAACTAGCCTCAGTACTCCTACAACATACAGCGGATGTTAATAGCCAGGTAGTGACATGTCCATTTCATTTAATACATTTTCTCGTCTTCAATTTTTTTCTGAAGTGTGGGTAGAAACTTAGGTCTCTTTTACACTGCACAGGAAATCCAGATCATCTGCTTTGAACTGGATTATATGGCAGTGTAGACTCATATAATCCAGTTCAAAGCAGATAATGTGGATTATCTACTTCGATAATCTGGATTATATGGCCATACTTAAGATGAATCTTAGTTTGTTACTCTACTTGCTCCGTTCATTTTAATGGTTATATAAAGTACAGCGAATGCTGCTTTGTATGCTGTAGGTCTGCATATTATTCGAAGGATCTGTTACAGGACCTTTTATATAATATGACTTTCATATATAAGGCCTTCTGGTGAAAGTTAACCGTAGACTTACATTGGACACCTAGAGAGAACACTTCTCTAGGCATTGCTCGATCCTTCAGGGTTCCATGATATTCAAAGCTTTTCACATATAACTAAAACTGTGTTCAAAGACCTGGTGAAATAAGTGGTCCTACTGTACTCTAGGATGACTGATTTTGGGGAATAAATTTAAAGAAGGTATAGTTGTAACAAATTATGTATATTTTTAGCAGCATGACATCATTGAAGCAAATGTTAGTGGTATTAATCTCACCTTAAAAATATTTGTCAGTGAAACTCATTTTTTCTTACAAAGGTTGTCCAGCAGCCTCACTTTACCTTTCCTTCTTGTTCTCTGCCTAGCTGGATGTTTTTTTTTTAGCGTAATCAGCATCAGGAGGATTTTGAAATAGAAGCTGTAAAAAGACATTCAGTGTCTGGTTGGAATAGCATTGCATGTAATAAAAATTTCAATAAAACTTGGAAGTGGGAAAGAACGGAATTGCACTCCAGCTAATCCTTTTGTAGTTGTGTGTGCTTGCCTACCAGAGGCAAGGTGAATAACAGTTGCTTCCAAAGACTCTTTCTAAATATGTTAGAACTGGAGACAAGGGGTGGAAACAGATAAGTCTGCCAAAATATGTTCCATAAGCATATTTTTGGGAAAAAATAGTTCTAGAGGTTTAGGAACTGAATAGGAAAAAAGGAGGCTGGTGGAATGAAAAATCACCCATGGATGCATTTTAAGGGGAATCAAGGATTCTGTGGAAGGTCTCAAGTGTTTTTGCTTATTTAAGGAAGGCTTACCTGACCAGGCTTTTTCATTTTATGTATGCATACTAGCCATCACTTGCCATACATTGCTGTGGCCCAGTCAGTGTATATGTGTGTGTATATATATGTGTGTTTGTGTATATATGTGGTTTTGCACATGCATTCTAATGTTTTTTGTGGGTGTTTTTGGCTTTTAAAGTCTCTTCTGCTATGTTTTTCAGTGTTTTATGAGTGATAGCCACTAATTGGCCTGATAAGTGTATTGTGTCCAAATTTGGTGTCAATTCGTCCAGTGGTTTTTGAGTTATGTTAATCCCACAAACGACCATTACATTTTTATTTATATAGATTGTTGGATATGAATAAAAAGTTTATGGGAATATGGTGAACTTCTCCTTTTCTTCTTCCTCCCCTCCTTCCTCTTCCTCTCTTCTTCTTTTCTCTCTTCCTCCTCCTTCTTTTCTCTCCCCCTTTTTTTCTTCTTTCTCTATTTTCTCCCCTCGTTTTCATCTTTCCCTTCCTCCTTCTTTCATGGCTTTACACCTTGTTTGAGTTTTCTGAAAACAACAAAAATGATTTAGTTGTAATATTTATATTTAAGGCAGAAGTGGGAAGTAATCACAATCTTTTAAAAAGCATTCTTTCTTGTATCCCCACCTTTTTAATGTATTGCAATTTCCAAAGCAGATTATTTTGAGCCTGTCACAAAAGGTTAATAATCACTATAAAATGAAAATCAATCTTTGATACCCCTTCACCCCCCAAGTAATAAGAGAGGCATTTTAAAAGGTCTTGGGTGAAATAGAAATGTTTGCAGACAGGTGTAAAAACATGTAGGAGCGCACATCTTAAACTGTAATAATTCCTATATGTGCATGACCTTATCTTCACAAAGTGGAAAGCAGAGACCTTTCTGTTGGCGTAATATCAGGAAAAAAAATAAGCAAGGCTGAAATCCTTTTTTTAAAACAGGGGGAAAAATTCCATGTACAACGTACACTTTGTGGGATCTGTTTACCTATGCCATAGATGTGTGGCCCAGATGATATGTATGGTCTCTCAAGATTTTCCACATTGCATAATTGAACCGCTTCCAGAATTGCCTGTTATGTTTTCTCAGCCTCATTCTCCTTGTAATGGACCAGTTCAGTTCTGCTGCCTTTGGGCCCACCACCCAGTAATTGAGAACAATCCAGAATCACTGGGTTGCTGTGAGTTTTCCGGGCTGTATGGGTTGTGTCTGTATGTATGTGTATGTGTGTGTGTGTGTGTGTGCGCGCCACATTTAAAAAGAAAGAAACGGAATCGAGGTAAATTAGAATATAATTACTGACATTAATAATGGTAAAGTAAAACCAAATACAAAATCCACATACGATTGATGCTTCCCTTCGGCAACTAAAATGCTATCTTTCAAACCCCCAGTAGCTTCTTCATCAGGCAAAATATGTTTTAAAGCTGTACATGAGTAAGTTACAGGCCTACATTTTGTATCGCATATTGTCCCTGCTGTAGTTCAATTGGTCTGGAGGGATCAAAATGCAGTCAGAAATCGCTCCTCCTTTTCTAGCCACATAGAAACTTACACAAAGAGCAATAAAATCTAAATCCATTAGGAGATACAGTGAGACTTTGTTGGAGGTAGAACTTCCAAAAGTTACATCCCAGTCTTTACTTCTCCCTTGTTTAGGATTCTCCTGTTACAGCTAAATCCATTATCTTCAAATCTGGAAAGAAATATGTATACCATGTTCAAGAGTAGCTGAACCGCAAACAAAATACAAAAATCCACATAGGAACGATACCGTTATTGGCTAAACAAAATGCATAAAACACATTATGCAAGGTCCACTGGCTTCTTCGGGCACAAGTGTTAATTTTAAAGGGGATGAGGATTACCCCCTTCCTTTTATTTTCCTTTGCTGTGCTGCTTATGCTTCAGTCTGCTCAAATCCGGTCCCGAAACATGGCTCAGAAAAATTTGCTCACTTGTGATTGGAGACATCAGTTTTTCTAATGTCCCATGTCACACTCTTTTCCAAATATATCTCACAATATGGTGTTAGATCAGCCGTTGTATAGCTCACTGTTGCATTGCTCCCCTGTAAGCAATAAAGCTTCCTAGAAATTGACTTTCTTTACCTAGTGCAGAAGCTGGGATAGTCCCGCTAGAGGTATGTGCCCAATTCCATATAATTTCCTAGTGGCTTTATTTAGACTAACCCTATTGATGCTATTGGATCGTCTTTTCTCCAGAAGGGTAAGGTTTAGTGAGGTCAAACTACAGCAACATGGGCCTTGATCCTCTATTCTGCTAAATTTGGGATACTTCAGAGCCAACAAGAAAATCTAGGAAAGGATATGGGATGTAGCTATTTGGGAAGAAAGGCCCAGATTTTGAACTATATTGCAGCTAGAAATGAGAGATTAAAAAAAATGTCCCCACTATTATAAAGAGCACTATTATCTTTATGCTCTAGATCAGGGATTCTCAAACTTTTTAAACAGAGGGCCAGGTCACTGTCCCTCAAACTTTTGGAGGGCCAGATTATAATTTGAAAAAAGCAGGCTGAATTCCTATGCACACTGCACATATCTTATTTGTAGTGCCAAAAAAAACTTTAAAACAATACAATAATTAAAATGAAGAACAATTTTAACAAATATAAACTTATTAATATTTCATTTGGAAGTGTGGGCCTGCTTTTGGCTGATGAGATAGGATTGCTGTTGTTGTGTGCTTTCAAGTCGTTTCAGGCTTAAGTTGACCCTGAGCGAGGGCCGGGTAAATGACCCAGGAGGGTCGTATCTGGCCCCCGGGCCTTAGTTTGAGGACCCCTGCTCTAGATATTCATGAGTACTGTAGAGCCTTTAGCTTGGCTTGTTCTAATTAATGCTTGGCTATCAACTTTCAAAGCAGTTTAAAGTAGCTAGTAAAATATGTGTAAATAGATGTCATTTTTAGTGAGCAAGAAGAGCACATTTTTCTAGGCCATGTTTAATAAAAAGAAATCCTGTTTTTGAAGTTTCCACTTGGTATTGAATTGCAGCCACACAATGGCAGCACTTCCCCTGCCCTTCTAAATAATAGGACAGGCAGAGTCCAGGTTTTTTGAGTGTTGATAATTACCTTTAATAGTACACCTAAAATAGGTACTGATTGCTTTGAGGGGTCAGTGCAGAAAGAACTACTTTGTGGTGGGATAGAGATTTACTTTGTCTTTGAAAGGGGGTTATTTGTATAATCTAATTATCCAAATCCTTAGCCACAAGCATTTCTCAGTGGGTGGCTGTGTGTTCAGAAATAATGTTGAGAACTGTGATGGCTTGGAATTTTTCACCCAAAGTTCAATATAATGTGGGAGCAAGTGGAGAGGAAAATATTAACCTCTATACACACCACTGTTATCCCTCTTCTTTAGGTGAGCTGGTGTACAGCAAGGAAGATTGCTTCTTCCTTGTATAGAAGGGAACGTCTTTTGAAAATCTGCACAGGCAGGCAATGTTTTCAAAGCATTGAGCTGTCTAAATTTTCTTATCCTGCCCCCGTGTTAGTTCTTCACAAAGGAGAAATCCTTTTAATTGATTATGGCAAATGAGTATTTTAATGAGATGTACTTAATTTTGATCTTTGCTATAGAATATTTTAGAATTAATTTTAGTATGACTGCTTAATGGTTTTTAACTTTGATCCAACACATTGTTTTTGTTAGTTTTAATTTACATTGTAATTTGCTTTGGGTCCCATAGTTGGGGAAAGAGGGAACATAAATTAACTATCTTCAGACTTGTTTTAATATTTATTCATTACTGATTGCTAAAGTTATATGGTTCAGTTGCTTTTATCATTATTATTTAGTGGT